ATTGCCTAATAGCTAAAAAAAAGCCGCGTAAAGTCGACGCGTCCGCGGTTGCCGCATCGCGTCAAGTGCATCAGGGCTGGGATCACGACATTCTACTAGAATTCTACTTTCATGAAGTCAGGTTGCCTAGCAACTGTCATCATCGCCCGTAATGTACGCGATAAATGTGTCGCGATGACGTCATGGAAGTGGAATATTACTTATCATGATTCCAGCCGTGGATTCCCTACAAGGCCTTTATTGTCGAAACAGGAGATAAGCGTTCTGTCTTAGTTGCCCATATTTCTATTTCCATAACACTGACAAAGACAGAGCAATCGTTCTTTCTCGTGAGAACGCTGTTTCCCGGTTTCAAGAATAGGCATCCTGGTATACAACGTTGCCGTCTCTTTCAAAATTTAATTTTCGATTTTTTTTTTATAAGATCTACGAGTTTATTATTTTTTATTCGTTTTATCGGTCCCTTTAGAATCTGGTTGTGTGAGGGGCCCTCAGCTCTGGTGGCCCGACGCAGAGTCATGGGCGTCGTTACGAGGTTTCTCAGGGGGGGGGGGCAGTATTATAATAAGACCATTTCCATTAGCGCCGCAGGCAACCGCCGTAGGCTAATTTTTTTAGTGCCACGCCCCTTTTTGAGCATTTTAAGTAGTTGATATCGATATTTAGTTAAAAATGATGGTATTTTTTTCCGCAACAAATTCACTGTCCGCATCATTTGTTCAGTGGCGACGCCAGGGGAGGGCCAGAGGAGGCTGGGGCCGCCACTGAAATTTAGCCGCCCCCCCCTGAAAAATTGCTCTCATGTCGGCAACAACGCAATGTAACATCAGCAGCCTCTGTCGGTTAATTCGGTATTCGGTTAGCACAGGCCAAGAATCGTAAACTAACAGGAATTCTCATCCTCATAAGGCGTACCTTCGTCAACTCTCGAGTCGGTAGGGCCTGCGAGTGACGTCACTACTAGTTAGCAGCATAACAGCTTATAATGATGACGTTACCCGCAGGCCTCGATGGGATGCTTGCGATTCAGGTTGTGCTTGTTTTTTCGTCAATTTTAAATGTAGAAAAGGTGATTTTAACAAGATTATAACGATTACTATGACCTGTGACTGTTTTAAACTCGGCTAATGCATTTTACGCCAAGTGTTGAGGTGTTCGGCTGAGATGGCAGACATTTTCAGCTCAAGAAGCAGCATTTTTTTATCCCAAAGAAGAAAAGCAGTAAAATAAAAACAAATGCCTCCCTAAATTTTTCTGGCCCAGTCTGCCCCCCCCCCCTAACATAGAACCCTGGCGTCGAACCATCGAACCATCGGTTCAGTGTTTTATAATACCGGCCCTAAGTCAAGTCAAATTCAATTCCGTTGAATGTAATGAAAATGTCAGCCAATTTTTCAGTACCTAACAAATTTTGAAAAAATGCAAAAAAGTAATACGAATAACGAACTCTCTTTTACTGCTTTCTTGTTCAAAAGACTATTTCTAGGGAGGGGCAAATGCCCCCCCCAAACGACGCCCATGCGCAGAGTGCGTCGTTTGCTTCATGCTAGATCCGCCACTGAGTCAAACAATTTATTACTGTTGCAGATGACATATCTGAACATGGAAACGCAAACGGAAATCTTGAGTATTCATCTACAATATCTAATAAATATCTGTTCTGATTGTTGCCAAGCAATGGTCCCTTAAAATCAATATTAAATCTTTGAATGCGAGTTCCTTTGTTTTTATGGAATCTCTGCACAAACCGGACATTCAGATATAACTCTTCTGATGTCTTCTATATAGTGAATGAGGTAAATTTTTGCATCTAATCCAATGATAGAATTTTGTGACACCATTTGACACATTCTGTTGTGTAATTTATACAAATTTTTCTCTGATGTTGATTGAATAGCAGTGGATACCTATCCTGGAAAGTGCGTCAGCTACAATGTTTTGATTTCCTAGCCTGTATATCATATCAGATTTGCAGCATGATTATTCTTTTTTCTAATGCATTATTTTCTAATTCTTTATTTTTGATAAACTCATATCGTCAAACATATTTGCAACGGATCTTTGATCAGTAATTATACGAAATGTCGTCCCACTAAATAATGCCTCCATTTTCTTATAGTTTCTATTATTGCGTATGCCTTTCTCTATAATAAAATGATTCTGTTCTTTTTTTGTTAAGGTTCTTGAGAAAAATGCGACTGGTTTATGTCATTTTGTGTCAGTTGAGCACCGATAACAAAATCGGAAGCATCTGTTTCCACTGTAAATGGAACCTTTTCATCGACGAACGTTGCAACAGCATCAATAATATTTTGTTTTCGAATGCTTGAATTTGTTCTTCATTCATAGTAAAACTTTTCACGTTTGCAATGGGATGTATCTTTTCAGAAAATTTGTATATGTATAAATTTTGAGTAGTGTGCGAACATACCTTGTACTCTTCTGAGAGAAGCAACATCTTTAGGGACTGGTAAAATGATTAGGAGTTGTAGCCTATCTGCATCAGGTTTTATGGGTTTTCCTTCTATTGCATATCCTAGAATATTGATAGTAGACATTGAAAATTTACATTTTTCACCGTTTAGTGTTAGATTATACTTTCTTGTGATATTTATGAATGTCTGTAAGTTTTTGTCATGTTCTTCTTTTGTTTTTCCACAAATTGTAACGTTGTCCAAAAACGCATGTATCGAATATAGTCTTTCATTATGTATGATATTGTTAATTATACGTTGATTTGTAATGTCAAATAGAATTCTTGTGAATTGATACAAGTTGTTACATGCTTCAAAGCTAGTATAAATTCGCTCACTTTCCAAAATAGGTATTTGATGGTATGCACTACGTAAGTCTATAGAACTAAAATATTAATATTGTGAAACTTGACTGATGATTTTATCAATATTAGGTAGTGGATATGCATTTAATAAAGTGAACTTCTTGATTGTCAACGAATAATCAACAACCGTAGGTACGTTTCTTATGATTTGAGTTACTTGTCACTAAAACTTGTGCTCTCCATGGTGAACCAAGTAGGTTCAATAATGTTTTTTTTTCAATAATCCTTGTTTCTCTGATTCTATAAATTTGTAGTCATCATCAAAACCATCTGGATTTGATAGCAATCGGCAGGTAATTTTCTGTTAAATTTGCAAACGGTGGATAAGGTCGAATATTTGCAGTTATAGTGTTTCCAAAGTCAATTGGAACAAGGTGAACATAAATCATAACAGGTGGCCGACTAGTGGCAGTGCATTTCTCATGGAAATTTTCAGTGACCAGTCAGCTACCAGTTGGTACCTGGTTCCAATTGAGTTTGGAAATACTATACTAGATTACAGATAGAAAGGTTTAATCGAGGGTTTACTTGAATTCTACTCCTAGATGATTTTGAAGAATATCATGTCCAATTATAACATCAGAACAAAGATTTTGTGAGACATAACCCTGATATTTTTGAACACATGATTTGATATTTTTATAATCACAATACACTATCCATAAACAGGAGAGTTCAAAGATGAAGCAGCCATTGTGACATTTAGATTCGTAGGAATACACTTTTATATGTCTTTGTGTGGTGATAGTTTTTGAGATATAACTGTCCGAGCTTCCAGTATCAATTAGTGCATCAGTTGGAATATGATTGACCTCAATTTTAATACTAGCTTCCGATAAGCAAGATGTTGAGGCAGCTGACATCATTCCAATCATAGCATCTGAAGTTTTATTTGAATCATGAGATTCTTTTTGATGTTTTGACTTTTGATCTACATTACACCAATCTTTCCACAGGAATGACAGATTGCATCTCTTGCTGGACATTTATCTCTTTAACTCTAGAGTGTCTGTTTTTCCCACAAAAATAAAAATTTGAAGTAATTACGGCAAGTGTTGTATGCTTTCGTTCATTTGATTGTTGAACATAAGTCGATGATTGATCTGATACAATCGAATTTAGGTACTTATGAATTTGAGGTATAATATTCTGACTGTTGTTGAGCCATTTCTAAAGATCTAGCTGATTTAAGTGCTTCTTCTAGGTTCGGAGTCGTATTTTCTAAAAGTCTTTGCCTAATGTGAGATGTGGCGAGACCACGAATAAATTAAACTCTTATGTAGTCCTTTCTATTCTGTTCAGCAGTGACTGTTTTAAAAATACAGTCTTCACTTAGTTGTTTCAAAATTTTTAAGTACTGGTCTATAGATTCACTTACTTACTGTTTTCTAGTGGATGAAGTATGACGGGCAAAAATTACACTTTGTGTTTTTACATATAACTACTCGAGTATGGCAACAGCTTCTATGTAGGAAATACATTCACTAATAGACTTATAAACCGAAGAACTCACATAGTTTACTACATAGAAGGTTTAATTTGTCGTTGTCTTCTGAAATTTTTGCAGCTTCAAAAAAAGTTCTCAATCGTTGGTTTCCAGTGGATCCATAACGTGCTAGGGTTGCTCAAATGTGTGTCAATTTCTAATCGATCTGGCTAAAGTAAAATAAGCTAAAATTTAGTACAGATTATTTTGACAATAACTGACAACATGACATACAACATAACAGGTAAATAAATAGGCAACATAGTAAATAAGGTAATGAGATATACAACACTCACCTTCAAGCTTCTGATTTCTGGAAGCTCATCTTCTTTATCTGTTTTCTAAAAAGTTGCTGCCTTTTCAAAGGCCACTTCTTATCCTTATGACAATGATTCTTGTCCCTTAAGAGTAATAGTTAATGGCTGAGTTACTTTTTCCAAAGTTTCTTCCGAAGCTTCTGATATTTGTTTCAGAAGCTGTGACTCTTATCTTATTGTTTCCTCAATAATGTTAAGCCCCTTCCAAAAAACAAAATAACTAGTGGAAAGTAAAAATACGCGAGGGTATGAAATCGTACATAAAGCATTTCTCGACTGTCCAATAAACTGTCACCTTATGTACTTAATTTGTAAAACTCATTACTCAAGTACTTATTCAAATTATTTGCGATTCTAGTGCACCAAACATGCATTTCCAACACTTGCCGCCCTCGTGAGGAAAGCGGTACCTTACGACCTTCCGGATCTGTGACTCCGCCCGACCTGAGACGTCCCGGATCGTCGTTCGACCATCATATACCGAAAATCGAACCGGACGGTTCTCCTGCTAGTCCTCCTACTCCACCATCAAGGTAAGAACTTGTATTACAAAACATAACTATCTCACATTTAATATGCTAAGATATTCAAATTCAAGTACTGCTCATACGTTTAAAAGCCTGAAAAATTAATAATTACATACAATTAAACTCGAGAAAGTATTTGATATTCAATTGCTAAGTTTCTACATCTATCTATATTCTCTTTGATCGTATACATATTTTATACATTTTATGTGCAGTTGTTTCCTTTTTGTCATAAGTTCTTGTTACTTTGTCTTGTTTTATTTAAGACACGTCAATTTTGTTTTTTTTATTTGAAATTTATCGATATACCTATTTTTTATCATACAGGGTGTCTCAAAAATAGCTTCGCTGGTATCAACTTTATTTTTTTAAATGGTACCCTCTGTATATTATGACATTTCTGGATTCTGTAGAAAATTTTACACATATTTCATGTATATTATCACATACCTATCTTCAACTGTTTCGGGAATATTGACAGTTGAAAATTGACTTTTTTGCATCTTTGACAGGCTGTAAAACCTAAACGGTTAATTTTACAACAAAACCGTCTCACATTCTCATCTGTAGCTTTTCATAAGCTATTATTTGCCAGCAACTTTGAATTTAACCGGAGATTAAATTTAACCGGAATTTTTAAGCATGGATTAATTTCGAAGATGGTGTCAAAAGATAGTTTATGGAAAACTAAGATGAGAATGTATGATTGGTTTTGCTGTAATATCAACCGTTCAGGTTTTACAGCCAATCAAAGATGCAAAAAAGTCAATATTTCCGAAAGTTGAAGATAGATATATGATATTGTACATGAACCATGTCTAGAATTTTCCGCAGAATCCAGAAATGTCATGATATACAGGAGGTATCATTTAAAAAAATAAAGTTGATACCAGCTATGCTATTTTTGAGACACCCTGTATGATGAAAAATATATCAAAAAATTTCAAACACAAAAACAAAATTGTCGTGAATGAGCGATTTTTCAAAAATTCTACCGTTTCCAAAATAATGAATTTATGCGGGACTTTATGAACTCACTGTATATTTTATGCACAGTTTTTATATTGATCTTTTTTCACTGTTCTTCTAGCTTCTATTTTGATATTTTTCTGATATTGTTTTATTTTTCAGTTGTACGGACGAAGTGAGCGGTGGTGTGGCAATTTGTGCGGGTTGTGGCATAAAGATAACGGACAGATACTATTTGCAAGCGGTAGAAAAACGGTGGCACGCGCAATGCTTGCAGTGTAGTCAGTGTCGGAACACTTTGGACGGGGACATTACGTGTTTTTCGAGGGAGGGAAATATCTACTGTAAAAAAGACTATTATAGGTAAGTCATTGACTTGACTTGAGCTATCAATAAGATAAAGGAGAGATGTGTTGCAAGTGAAAATTCAGAATAACCGAAGAATGTAGTTGCATGAGAACAGCCGCTTCTAGTAAACAACGCAATTTCTAACTATTTTTTGGAAATTATCTCATCTTTACAGTATGTGTAAAGTCCGTCGATTTTATTCTGATACTCCAAAGGAATGGTGAGCTGGTGGCTCCCTACATTAGAAGCCCAATGGTCACCTGACGCCTGTTTTGCCATAAGTTTCACCCCCTCGCTCCTCATACGGAAAGTGTCAGATTAAAAACGACGAACAATACATCACCACAATTCGGAGGCTTTTGGGTCACTGATTTTTTGTGCGCAGCTCTATCAGGGCGCCACCGATCAATTTTGAATTTCCTCGATGACAAGGGTTTCCAAGGAAATCCGGAAATTTATTTTCCAATGGTTCTAGAAACTTTGTATACTTTAAACTGTGGTGAACATTCAAAACTCCAGATTCAGAGGGGCTTTGACACGAAATTTTTGGCTTAAACTTAATCGATTCGATCCAATGCCAAAGAAAACCTCAACCAATTACAATTAAGGGATCGACAACAAACTAACCAATTCTTAAACTTAATGCTGCTCCTCTTACGATATAAGGTCTCAAATTTCTCTCTCAACAAAAGCTTAATTTCAAAGACTCCTAGTGGAGATTCTGGAGATTTTGAAACGACTCATAATTTAAAATAATACTATAAGACTCTGAACAGTCAAGAATCTGGGTACCTACTAAAGACTCTAAAATGTAAGTTCTTGGCTCAAGACTTTATGTTCACAGTTTAAGCAGACAAGGCTTTATAGATTTCCGATTCAAAAAGACCTGAAATTCAAAACACAGAATATAGGTGAGAACTATCACACTCGAACTTAATTTTAGCCGTCGGAGAAATTTGCAGCAAATTTTACCTTCCAGAGCTTGGGGAGCTTTTCACAGAAAGAGTTAATGATAATTAAAATGTAGAAAGTAATTGCAAGAGCCTCACACAGCAAGTTTTCCCTTGAGGCAACTGGAATTATCCCAGCTATTGCTTACCTACCTTCAGAAAAATTGACGCAGCAAATCAAAAGGTAGGTACCTCCTGATTTTGAGAGTCACGCTCTTTTGTGTTAGGTACCTTGTATCAGAATGAAATTATTGAAGATTTAGAAACTAAATAGAACTTGCATTGATTAAACCAAGCAAAATGAGACGAGACAGAATGATGAAAGCACAGAAATGAAACCAAAACTTTTCACTGTCTTGAAACACAAAAATTGAAAGTAATATTATCAAATAAATATCTTGAGCTTGAGACCAAAATAACCGGTCCAGTTTATAGATGCGCTCTTCTTCTCGCATCAATTTCACCGAAAGCAAAACTTAATGTCGTGTCATTAGAACCGGTCCTTGGTCTTTAGGTCAAGGACCACTAAAGCACCTTTCAGATTACCCAGTAAGAAACAAAATTCTAATTCGGCTCCCTTTACTTTGTAAAACCGTTTGCTGCACCAGTTAAAATGTAAATCATCTTTTAGGACAGTTCAAATGGGCATAAATTTAGCTAATGCGTGTTTGCGCATAGAGAGACGCTTTTGCTTTTGTGAAGTTGATTATTATTATCTTGACGCGATTAATAGATCGTAGTTGATTAATTCGGAACAGGTAAACAGTGGAACAAAAATGAAACCGTCAAACCATAAATGCACAGGCACGCTCTCGTTCGCGGCCGTAAAATTAAAAATCTTCGTGGCTTGATATCTTTACTAAAGGTCTATCAGCACTTGCGGAGTTAAGCTATATTAATGATTCACGTGTAGCTGAATTATGATTGGCTTAAGCACGACTTTTGCTGGGGGAACTTGTTTATAGAAAAATTGTTGCTTTACAGTGCTGATTACTAACATATTTTGCTTTGAACCGATATTTAAGAGAATTGCTTTATTTATTAGTGAAAATTTACCGAGTCTGTTTAGGACACTGCTAAGAGACAGTTTACGTTACATTTTACTTTTCACTTCACAGTAGGAAAACAATTTTTCACCGATAAATCTACTCTTGCTTTCTGCACTCATTAGATACACTTTCTGGGAGGCTGTTCCAAGTGTCAACAACTGAGTTCGTGAGAAACTGTGTTCTTCGGAGAAGATTTCATTTTTCTGTTTGTATAATTCTAGATTGTGTGTATTATGGTATAGCAAAGGTACTGTTAGGACTCCATGATCGTTTGCATGGATGATCTTGAAGGTTTCAATGAGGTCTCCTCTTTCTCTTCTGGCCTTTGGGTTCGGTAGATTGAACATCCTCAATCTGTTTTCATAGTGTCTTTGACTTCATTATGGATTTTCGTGCCTCTTCGTTGAGTTCTTTCTAGTAAATATATATCTTTGATGCAGCATGGGTTCCATATTATGTGACAGTACTCCAGCTTTGGCAAATGAAGAATGAAGAACACATAGATTTTTCCTATGAATCCTACAGATTTGTTGCTGAAAGCTCTCCCAGTTCAATATAGACTGTTCACTGTTATCACCATTTGAGCTATATGGGTTTCCCATTTCAGGTTGTCCGTTACTATCACTCTAGGTCCCTCTGTTCCGTGATATATGAGATCTCAGTAGGTTAGTGCTGTACCTATTTTTAATATGTGGGTTATTTATTCCAATGTGAACACCGTGTAAAGATTTACTCAATGACCTTTAGAAATTAGGCTTTAATTTCTTTATATTATACACGACCTTCACAATGATGAAAAACTAATGACAACCCATACAGTGTCATTACTTAAGTGTGCAACATATGGGATTTTTTTTTAGTGATAGCACAATCAAAATACAAACAAGGCCAAAAGTTGGTGCATGTCTGATAATCATATTAGGTGCACTTAGAATGGTTGCAAGTCAAACAGCGTACAGGGTGGCTCAAAAAATATCAAAATTCTACTAATATTTACTTAAATAAAATAAAACTTTTGCACTTTAAGGAGAGTTTTTTTAATATGGCTATTATCATTAGTATTTTTTAACTTGTTAAAAAAAAATATTGCGACATTTTAAAGTTGTGTTGAATATCATTGCAACAAACATGAATTTTGTGATTCCATAGAAAATTAAATATCTAAGTTAATTTTACAAATATGCTTGAATTTGAACAAAGTTATGTAAAAGTGATTTGATTTTCATTAATTTTTGGAAGTATTAAGGGCGGAAATAAAAAATAAAAAATATATAGAAATTATAGATTTTTTTCGAAAGAAAATAAAAAAAATCTTAGGAGGCTATGTTTTGGTATTTAGACATAACTTTTAATTCTAAACAACTTTTCTCTATAACATTTTGCTGAATTTTCTAAAATAAGGGTACTTTACAGTACAGCTTTGATATTGTTTGAGCTACCCTGTATGCTGTTTGACTTGCAACCATTCTAAGTGCACCTAATATGAATATCAGACATGCACCAACTTTTGGCGTTGTTTGTATTTTGATTGTGCTATTACTAAAAAAAAATCCCATATGTTGCACACTTAAAAAATCACACTGTATAGCCAAATAATATTTTTTGAAGATTCAAAAAATATTTTTTTTCTCGGATCAAATATATTTTTAAAACATCCAAATATCCATAAAACATATTTTTAGGACATTTTTTGAACATTCTGCGGTAACGAATCGATATTTTTTGAATATCCATACGATATTTTTCAAATGTATTAAAAACATTTTTAGAAAGTATGAAAATGTTTTTTGAACATCATCATCGAAAAAAAAATAATGCGGATTCAGAAACGATGTATTAAAAATGTTTGTATCTGGATGATATTTTTGAGAATTTTCAAAAACATTTTTAAAATATCCAAATATATTTTTAAAACGTCTTTTGGATATTTTGTGGAACATTTTCAAAAAAAATATAAATAAAATATTTTCCACACATTGAAAAAACTATATTGGTTTTGTGAACATCAAAACGATATTTAAAAAACATTATTAAAATATTTTAAAAACATCATTCCAACATTTAGGATGGTAATTTTTATGGGTGTGTGAGTACCTATTGGGTAATTAAAACTCAGAATTGAACTCAGAAATATTTTTATTTGTACATATGCATCTGATTCAAGTTATTTGCCTCTCAATTAAGCAGTTCCTGACTGATGGTTATGGCTTATTTTCCTTCGAGCTGCGCCTGCTCTTTCACAGCTCCTTTCTTCTTCCTACAATAAGAACTAATTTGTATGACTATAATCAATCAATATCATTTTTATAGATACAGGGTGTTCCAACGAGGATTGATCAAAGGGTTCTTTTTTTCTTCTTTCTTTCTTTTTACTCCCTCTATTATTGAGAAAATCCATAATACCTATCTCATGTATTTTTTCCTGCAGAATTCAATTATTGTATCAAAAAATCTTTGAACCAAAAATATAGGACACGCCATGGATGATGGCTATCTTGGATTCTCACAAAAATACAGGCAGATTCAAAAAAAGGGTCCTGGTTTTAAGTCCTCGTTGGAAAACCCTGATATAAATACCATTTACCGTGAACCTCAATCAAAATCGCAATTATTCTCAGAGCCAAATAACGTACATTCGCACACAAACCTCACAAAAAAATATATTGACTTCACTCTAGTCTAGTCTAGCTGAACCCGACCCAGACTGAAACTACGCCACGCCGGCGTCCAGTCCCCCTCAAAAAGTAGCATAAAACTACCAGTGTTGCCAGAACCGTTTTTATAATTGGAAGCTTTCATGGGTTCCCAAGGGTCGTATTTTCGAATTCATTCGCGAGTAGATTTCGTACACGAAAATTGATTGACAATTAATGTAAATTAAATGGGAAGCATTCGAAATCTTATCAAATTTCGTATGCGAGAATATTCGAAAATACTACCCCAGGTATGGCCATTTTTACTTTACCGTTACAATGGTTACTAGGTGACAACACTGTGAATTAATTCAACCGGTAGC